CTTCCAAAGAAATAGGAGTTTACTTCTGGACTCTTGATTCTGTTCCACTGGTCCGTGTGTCTGTTTGTCTGCCAATACCATGCTGTTTTGATTACTGTCGCTTTGTAGTTTAATTTAAAGTTGGGCAGAGTGATGCCTCCAGCTTCATTTTTCTCAAGATAGCTTTGGCAACTTTGGGTCTTTTGTGCTTCCATGAAAATCAAATGATTTTTTTTTTGTTCCATTTCTTTAAAAAATGCCAATGGGATTTTGATGGGGATTGCATTAAATCTGTATAATAGCAATATCTTTTTTTATGGAATTCCATTTTGAAAGAAAAGCCAGAGGTTTTCTACTTAGAAATAACACATGAAAATGTATACTTAACTCTCTCTAGAATCTATTAAAACAATAGTAAAGGAATTAAAAAAAAAAAAAAAGTAATTCTACAACAGCAGAGAGTTTAGGAGAAGAGACAATTGGTAAACAAGAAACTAACAAACTACAGGATTAAAGATAAACACTAAGCTATACAAAGAGTGGGGGGAAATCACCCTGGAGTTAAATTCAGAAAAAGGGACACAACTGTGTATATAAAGGAGCAGCTGTTACTCAATTCCAGGTGACTATTGCTATCAGAAAACTTAGGTCTGTCACCGCCATATTTTTTTTTTTGTTGTTGTTGTTGTTTTTTCCCAACAATCCAGAAATCCATATTTTAATGTAAAATCTCCCAGTTTTAAAGGCTGGCACTAAAGGAGTCACAGAAAACATGTCTGCAGGCTTTATAAGGCTTCTATGCCAACAGTTTGCAAATTCTGCAACAGAGGAACTAAAAACAGTGATGTCATTCCGTAACAAGGGCTAAAGTATACTAAATTTTATTTATTTTAGCCACTAAAGATCCATTTGAGACAAAATACAGTGGAAAATACAGGAGAGAAATTTAAGAAAATATAGGCGGGGCTAGGTTGAAAACCTGGTTAGACAGGAGGGACAGCACTTTTATTGTAGAACTTCTAAAAAAATGGACAAAGCATGTGTAGGGAGGTAGTATAATATCAGCTGTTATAGCTTAGGGGTTGGCAAATTTTTCCTGTAAAGGGCAAGATAATAAACACTTTATATTTTGTAGGCTCTGCAGTCTCTGGTGCCATCACTCAACTCTGCCATTGTCGCACAAAAGCAAGTCATGGACACAGATGAATGAGTGTAGTGCCTGTTTTCCAACAAAACTTCATTTACAAAAATAGACGTGGGCCAAATTTGGCCGGTGGACCACAGTTTGCCAGCCCCTGGCTTGAAATATTTCTAACTACTAAAGTTCTCAAGTGAAATTCTGTGAATGTGTTTGTTATGTGTCCAGTGGTGGAGATGGGGGTTAAATAGTAAATGGCTGTAGACAACTGAAAAGGGAAGATTTTAAGTTTCTTTTTATTATTAAAAAAGCTCACTTAATAAAGAAATAAAAATAGCCAAGACATTAAGAAAATAAAAAGACAACCCAGGAATGGGATAAAAATATTTGCAAATCATACATTTGATATGGGATTAATAATCAAGAATATATAAGGAACACCAACAACTCAACAGCAAAAAAACAAACCACCCAATTAAGAAAACAGGCAAAGGACTTAAATAGACATTTCTCTAAAAAGATATACAAATAGCCAACGAGCACATGAAAAGATGCTCAATGTCACTAGTTATTATGGAAATACAAATCAAAACCACAGAAACCACTTCATACCCTTTAGGTTAGCTATTAAAAAGCAAAGAACAAAATAAGTGTTGGCAAGGACTTGAATATTACAGTCATAAAAAGGATTTAAATTCTGACACATGGATGAACCTTGAAGACATTATGCTAAGTAAAATAAACCAGATACAAAAGGACAAATATCTATTCTATTCTACTTATATGGGCTATTCAGAGTAGTCACATTTGACAGAAAGTAGAATTGGTGGTTGCCAGGGGTTGGAGGGAGGGGAAATTGAGGAATTATTGTTTAATGGATAGAGGTTCAATTGCAGAAGATGAAAAAGTAACAGACAGTTAAAAAATAAACCAGAATTCATTTAAAGAAATTTATCTCTATACTTTTTATTTTATTCCCAAATTAAAAAATTCAAATTCCAATATAAGACCAAAAATAGCCTACAGCCATGCTACCCTGAACAAGCTGGATCCCAGCTGATCTCAGAAGCTAAGCAAGGTTGGGCCTGGTTAGTACTTGGATGGGAGACCACCTAGGAAGACCAGGTGCTGTAGGCGTAACAAATAAAAAAATAAGGGATTGTAAGCTGACAAGGTCCTTGCAATCTGTGAGGTCAACCAAGGGTTGCCTCACTTTAAAACAAAAATAACAAAAACAATACAACCTAACTTGTAAGCTGATCTCAGAAGCTAACCAAGGTTGGGCCTGGTTAGTACTTGAATGGGAGACCACCTAGGAAGACCAGGTGCTGTAGGCGTAACAAATAAAAAAATAAGGGATTGTAAGCTGACAAGGTCCTTGCAATCTGTGAGGTCAACCAAGGGTTGCCTCACTTTAAAACAAAAATAACAAAAACAATACAACCTAACTTGAATTAAGCTATTTATAAAATTATTCTTCCATCCCTTGGTTCCAGGATGCCCCATGGATACCAAAAATCCAAGGAAGCTTAAATTCCCTATAAAAAAATAGTGTAAAGATCAATGCATACAGCCAGTCCTCTGCATCCAGACTCCCAACCACTGACTGAAAACAGTACAGGTATTATTGAAAAAAATCCACATATATGTGGACCCATGCATTTCAAACCCATGTTGTTCAAGGGTCAACAGTACGTTGTTGCTGGAATTAGAAAATACTACAACCACTTTAGAAAATTATCTGTTAGCTTCCTACACAACCAAACATATACCTACTCTATGACTGAGCAATTCCACTCCTAAATATTTACCTAAGAAAAAATGAAAACATATGACCACGAAAAAACTTGTGGTCTTTACAGCAACTTTATTCCTAATAACCAAAAGCTGGAAACAGCTGAGGTGCCATCAACTAGAGAACAACCAATGAAGTATAATATAGTCAACCAGTAGAAAGATACTTAAAAACAAAAAGAAATAAACTAGTAATACTCACAACATAAGGATCAATCTCAAACTTTATATTTAGTAAAAAAAACTTATACAAAAGAATACCCACTGCATGATCACTGTTATGGTTTGAATGTGGAAGTCCTGACCCCCTGTACTTAGGAACGTGACCTCATTTGGAAACAGGGCTGTTGCAGATGTAATTAAGTTGGGTTCGCACTAGAGCAGGGTGGGCCCTTAATCCAGTATCACTAGTGTCCTTGTAAGAAAGGAAAGAAACACAGAGAAAAGATGGCCATGTAAAGACAGACACACACAGGGAGAAGGCCATGTGACTATGGAGGCAGAGACTGCAGTTACGCAGCTGCAAGGCAAGGAATTCCATGGACTGTTAGCAACACTCAGAAGCTAAGAGAAAGGGGTGGTACAGATTCTTCCCTAGAGCCTTCAAGAGAACATGTCCCTGCTGACACCTTGATTTTAGACTTGTAGACTCAAGAAGTGTGAGAAAATAATTTTGTTATTTTAAGTTACCTAGTTTGTGGTACTCTATTATGGCAACCCTAGGAAACTCATAGAATTCCATTTATATGAAGATCTAGAACAAGCAAAATATCTACGGTGAAAAAAAAAAATTATTGACTTTGGGGGTAGAAGGGATAGGAATTAACTGGAAGGGACATGAGGGAACTTTCAGGGGTGATGTTCTGTATTATAGGGGCTTATATTACAAAGGTTATACATATGTGAACACTCAGTGAAGGTACAATTAAGATTTGTGCATCTCATTATATGTAAAATCTTACATTGAAAGAAAAAAATTATAAGCTAATAATGCTAATAATATGTATACTTATATATTTAAGGGGAAGTGAAATAAATAAAAAAATAAGACTGATGGATGGCTAAAAATATATGCAACACATCAAGTATGTCAGTTGTTGTTTAATGGGTACAGAATTTCAGTTGGGAAGATGAAAAATTCTGAAGATGGATGGTGGTCATGGTTGCACACCAATGTGAATTTTTAATGCCACTGAACTGTACACTTAAAAATTGTTAAAACTGTAAATTTGTTATGTATACTTTGCCAAAATTAAACGAAACAGGCTAAGATACCACTTCACGCCCAAAAGGATGGCTATGGAAAAAAACAAAACAAAAACAGAAAATAATAAGTGGAGAAATTGGAATCATCATACAGTGCTGCCGACAATGTAAAATGACGCAGCCCTGGAGAAGTTTGGCAGTTCCTCAAAATGCTAAACAAGGAATTACCATATGACCCAGCAATTCCAAACTGAAAACACATTCAAACAAATACTTGTACATGAATGCTCATATAAGCACTATTCAAATAGCCAAAAGGTGGAAACAATCGAAATGTCTGAAGGGATAAATAAAAAATACCCATAATATAGAATATTACTCAGCCCTAAAAAGGAGTAAAGTACTGACACATGCTGCAATGTACATGAACCTTGGAAACATGCTAAGTGAAAGCCAGACACAACAGATCACATACAGTATATGAACACACATATGAAATATCTAGAGTAAGCAAATTCATGGAAACAGAAAGTAGATTAGAAAGGGAGGGGAGAAAACATGGAGTCAGGGCTTAATGGTTAAAAAATTGGGGGTTTTGAAAAAATTTTGGAAACAGCTGGTGGTGAAGTTTGCACAACATTGTGAATGTAATTAATGCCACTGAATTGTACACTTAAAAACTGTTAAAATGGTAAATTCTATGTTATATGTATTATACCACAATTTTGCAAAAATAATGTAAAATACCAAAACCACTGAACTGTATCCTTTAACTGCATCAATTTTATACGAATATCTCAATAAAAGCAGTTTTAATGAAAGGTAAGTACTGTTAAAAACATGATTAAAATAGCAAATTTTGTTATATATACTTACCACAATAAAAATAATTCCAACGAAAAAGGGCAAGTACACCAGAGCAGACACCACATTTAAGACAAAAAAACACTGCGTGGCTTATTGGCATGGCCTCTTGATCACATAAGCGATCAAGGTGCTGGAGTCAACTGATTTAGCTAGCTGTTCTGTCCACACTATGGAGGAGTTTGAATAAAAATTGACGTAAGGAGAGGGAATTGGTCCCAGAAAGCTAGTTTAGTTTAGGCTCCTTGCATGCTTAAGATACAGATGTATATGTTAGAGAAAGTATCTGAAAGAAGAAGTATCAACACAGGAATCCAGCAGTTTCCTTATTTCTGCTGTTGCTGTACTACCTACCACTACAGCTCATTTTTTCATAAGAATTGAAAGCTCTACGCAGGCAATTTTTTTTTCCTTTTCTGTTTTAACCCAACGAACACCAATTTAACATCTCCGTGAATAATTTGGGCAAATACTAGTCGGGCTTTCTTTTTTATCCTTTTAAAAATGGATTAGCAGAGATTCATTTTTTAAAGGATTTTGGTTTTTTAGCCAACAAAGACGCTGGGTTTTACTCACCGATTTCTTCTGATTCTAATCCAGAGGCTCTAAGCTTGCATTCCTTTGGATAGTGTTTTTGAATTATCTCCCACAGCTCCCTATTAACAAGAGAATTTCTTCGGGTATGGTACCGGGTCCACGAAGAGACTCGGCGGCGACAGAAGGGACAGCATAAATTCGCCTTTTCGACAGTAGATCGGAAGCATGCATTACAGAGCGTGTGATTACAAGGCAGTGTTACGGGCTCGATCAAGATTTCCACGCAGATCCCGCACTGGCATTCCGACAAGGAAGGGATGGCGTCTTTAGGTACAGCCATTTTAATATGCTAAAAAGGCATATTCAATATCATCACCCGAAAGACAAAGAATAGTATTTCCGGCCCATCTACGGAAAAAGCAAATTAACAGTTTGTGTTTAAATATTATGCCCAGCAGCGTATCAGACAGAATTCAGAGACTGGAAGCATCAAACACGCCTTGAAGCAAAAGGAGCTCTGCGGGCCAGGTAAAGAGTACTATCCCGGAAGGCGATATAATTTGTCCATGTTTAGGACAAACGTAGGGTAGGAAAATAAACAAATGTTTCTGTAGATAGACCTTAGCTGCTCCGAGGCATTAACATGCCCGTTTTGGCAGTGCGGACGGTGGCTTCAGCTCTCTGGTGCGGCGCGGGGTATGCGCCAAGTTCCCTTCCTCCCTCTCACCAGATGAGGCTGCTGCCTTGGCTGCCGGTAGGAGCCTGAGGCTGCCAAGGTGCGCAGCATTGGGGCCACGGCTCGGGGAAGGACGCTGCTTCCGCCCGGACGCCTGGCTTCCGGAAGACTTCTGTTTTACCGCTGCTGTGGCGGCAGCGCAGAACCCCTGCGTTCCAGCCTTCGGACGTCTAGCGCCGCGCCGTTTCCTGGTGCCGTGAGGCCGCTCTCCACTTCTCTGGGGTCAGCCAGAAAGCTTAATCTTTTCTGTGGTGCCGCAGCAATCACACACGCACTACTGACGTCACAATTACCCGCCAAAATGGCCCCGCCCTCCCAGAGAACCGCCCAAGGCAGAGACCGATAACACTCGGCAGGGCAGGACTTCCGGGGCCTGTGCGCACCGCCGGTTCCGTCCCTCTGCGCAGGGGAGGGTCCCGCTCCGGTCTTGCAGCTCCTCCTGATTCAGCTTGGGTGGAGTCCGAACTTCCCTTGTGCTTTCTGCTCTGCTGAGGCTGCGGAAACCTTGGACTATCGCGAGATTTGGTCTCTGGGCTGAAAAGGGAAACCTCTAAATAAACTTTAAAAACAGAACAGTAATTTAAAAAATGTCTTTCCTCGGTACTTCCCAGACTACTTTTCAGTTTTTCTTAATTTGTAACCTAACCTTTTAGATCACTATCCAGAGTTCTTAATCGAGCGTCTCCAGAGGCTAATCTCTGAGAAAGGTTGTGGTCAGAAAATCTGCAAACTGGTATAATTTATAAAGGCACTTACACTTCCTTCTATAGCCCAGCCCCTTCTTAAGTCTGGGCCTAGAGACAGGTTTCTTTAGGATTGCCTTCCCTCCTAAGGGCTTTGGAAACAAACTGCAGGTCTTCATCCTGAAGGTCAGTCATGTAAATCATTTATAATATAGTATTGGTTATTAAATTTCAAACTAGAACAATCAAAATTACAAGGAGGCCAAAAAAGAAAGTAGTTTAACATTTTATACATTTTGAAATAAGCTTTTCCATTTAGAATTAAGTTCTTGACCAACAACTGATCCTACTGAATTGAGTTATATGAAAAAAATATATTTGCCTAGGAAAATGGAATATTAAATACTGATCCTTAGTACTTGAGAACCAGGTCTTTGTGGACCAAAAAAAAAGGTTCTATGGAAAGTAACCTCACCAGTTTACCTGATCATAAATTCCTAACTGTCAGGTCATGGTCATACCCCAGGCATAACTTTTTAGTAAAGGGTGTATCTTTGCCTTAGGCAAGCAATATCCATTGTCTCTGTGTATCTAGGTTCACACCTTAGAAATAAGCCATAACCAGTCCCAAGACAGCACAGAATCTTGTTAACTATCCTGTAATCCAATCCTCACCTTGCTTTCTCCCACCTTCATATAATCTTTAATTTCCCTCCTTAATTTCAAATGCATAAAAGAAGCTAAAAAACTGTTATTCTCCAGAGCATTTGCGATCTTGCTCTCTGGCATTATGTCAACAGTTTGGCTCAAATAAACGCTTACAAAAAGCCTCTACAGTTTTGGACATTCTTATGTTGACACCTCACAAAGGTGTTTGCCAGGAGCTGGTGGCGTTATTGTTTAATGGATATAGAGTTTCAGTTTTATAAGTTCTAGAGATGGATGGTGGTGATGGTTGTACAACATTATAAATGCATTTAATACCGCTAAACTGTTCACTTGAAAATGGTCAAGATGGTAAATTTTATGTATATTTAACCACAATAAACAAAAAAAAAAAAAAAAAAAATGGAGAGGAAAAAAAGAACCAGGCCTGAGTCTTTTGAGGAAAAGAAAAGAAAATCAGTTTGCATGAAAATAGTTCTTTTGGATTTGTTACAGTCATTCAGTTTGGGAAGATGAGTTGGTTTCCACATGGAGCCAAAACAAGAAGGTGTAGGTCCTTGGTAGAAAGCTTTGTTTTGTTTTAATGTGGGTTCAGAAACCTTTGGTTGCCATCCATCCAGTTGTTCATAGTATCAATCCCTTAGCCCAGAATTTCAGCTCCCTACTATGATCCTAACTTGTTTTTCCTATGGAATTTTCCATTATTCTTTGAAACATTCAACTTTAATCTATTTGCTGTCATCTTGTGTTTTCGGGTCACTGCTTTCTCAGCTCATCTTCAAAGAGCTGGTTTGTGGCTTTGCCTACTTCAAGGATCAACTAGGTGCACTTCTTCAGGAAGTATTTCTCCATCACACAGTGATACTCCTCCTCTGAACTCATCCAGTCATATATCTCCTAGTGATAGTGGTTTTTATTGTAGTCTTATTTAACTCTTGCATTTTTATTTCTATTTTTAGGTACTCATGTCTTCTATAATGGATACATTTTATATGCTTCTTCATTGGACTTATTTACTTTCTGGACCCAACATCCCTTGGTCTGCCTAGGGCTCACCTGCATTCCTGGAATCTCTGGCCCTTCCTGCCACTTTTGGACTCCTGTGAAACACTGCAGACTCTGACTTTCCAATGGCTTCTAGGAGGGCTTAGATGATGCATCCTGGGAGTATGGGGTGTCACTCCCCACAGAGCAAACTTTGGCCAGTTGAAAACAGTGGATCGAGTGAGCATGACAGAGAAATTCTCTTTCCTTCATGATTTCTCCAAACAGTGTATCTGGAGAAGGACCAGACTGAGTGAATATAATGTATCTGCCAAGCAACCTGCCATGTCTCTCACGGCTCATTTTGAAGAGGGGCTAGCAAGGTAATGTACCACCTAGTATTACTTCTTAGCCTTTTCTACCTAACATCTTTCTAGAATTTTACCTCGATCTGGCTGTCCCGAATTTGTAACTCCCAAATAAAGCATCAGCACTTAACCTTTTCCTGATGAACAGTGCCTACATTTTTTAATGTTTCTGTTATTTACAGCACCTAGCACATGGCATTTGGTGTTTAATAAATATCATAAATATATGGTCAATTTGTGCAAGTTCCCTTTCTGGTATGAATAACTGTGGTACTATATATAGAGAAAATGTACATCAACATACAATATATATATTAGGTAATTTTTATTATTGTTTTGTCTTTTAATAGATAATACATTCATGTGGTTCAAAATTCAAAATGTACAAGATGGATTAACAGCAAAAGACTTCCTCCTATCTTTCATTCCCTAACTGTTTTTTCCTCTAAGACAATAAATGTTACTGTTTTTTAATGTATCTCTCCAGAAGAAGTTTATAAAATTTATGGATATATTAGCTTATATATGTGTGTGTGTGTGTGTGTATTTGTTTTGCCCTTTTTTCCATTTAAACAATATACATTGAAAATAAATATTTTAAAACAACACATCTTATTGATAACTCCACATCATTATGCAATAAAACAAAGAGCTTCATTCTCTTATATGGCTACACAGAAAGTATTTATCATATTAATTTATCATAATTTCTCTAACATTTCCCTCACTTTCGCTATAAAATAAGCCCATAACAAAATTGTATATACATATTTTTTCCCATTTGTAAGATAAATTACTAAAAATGGAATCACCAGGTCATAGGGTAATAGATTAGTTTTTGACTAATGGTATCAACTCTTTTAGGCATGACCTTTGCTCTTCAGGGGCTGTCACTGCTTTCCCCTTCTCAATGACCTGAACAGCTTTTAGCAAACCATCCTGTAGAGCCTGGTTCTTTACCATGTTGGTAATCATGAAAGTGACATCCCTGATGTACATCTGCCTCACTCTAGCACTGTAGTGTTCTGCCTTGTAACCATGTGCAATAAAGAAGGTACAAAGTGCTGTGATGTCTCCTTCTTGCAGCCCACACTCCTCCAGGACAGACTCCCACACAACCCTAATGCGTTTGTTCTTAACTTTTCGTCTAAGGACAGAGGCTAAGGTGGGAAGACCTCTCACCAAGTCTGGCAACTTCTCAAGTACATGAGTGTGCAAGCAGATGAGTACTTCAATAACGTAGCTGTATAAAATATTCAATTCCACTGAAGTGAACCTACAAAAAATGGGGAGAACTTCTTAAGCAGTAGAACACACTATGTTCAAATATAAAATGAATTCTATTAGGATAACTCAAAGAAGTACAAACCAGTTGTTGTATTTTAGAAAATACTTACTTTAGAAATAAGACCTGTGCTAAAGTGGATACCTTAGTTCTCCGACCACTCATACAACAATTTTCTCAGTGGCAGAAGAGTTATATTATCCATCTTTGTGTCAGTAAGACTTTAGCAAGCAAGAGATTGTGATGCGTTCTACAGTGCCTGGCATATAAACAGGTGCTCAAATTAATCTTTTTTGAATGAATGAACCAAAGAATATGTGACTTCTTCACAATCCATTGTTGGAACCATATTAAGAAATTCAGTTTTAGAATGACCATTGCAAGTACTCAGAATGCCACAGAATTCTACTGATTTCTCATTGGATACTCACTTGAGTGCCAGGACTGCTGTCCACAGCTCATCTTGGGCTGCCTGGCTTGCTAATGTTTTGCTATGATGTTCAAATTTCTGTGTCAAATTATTCTTGGTGAAGTCCAGTTCTTTAAACTGTGCTTCTAAAAATTGGAGTTTGTGATCTACTCTATAGGATAAAAGAATAAAGAGTTAGTTTAGGTCTGGGGACATAATTAAGGTTTTGCCTTAAGGTAAGACTATAATATGTTGTTCAAAACAAGTACCAAATTTGGGGAACTATTTAAATTTAAGATTATGAACAGATGTTCCCATTTGCCGTTCTCTCTAGCCATCATCCTAGCTCTTCCATTCCCTATATTGCCAAACTTTTGAATTGTCTAATTACTTGAATTATTTGCCATGTCTTGTCTACATATGGTATTTATGCTTTAAAAAGTATTTTATACAAGCATTACTTTGAGTCTCACAACCACCATAAGAAGTGAAGCAGTCAATTTTACTATTTACTATTTACAGATAAAGAAATTGATTCTCAAAAAATTGAGACCTATTGTCATATAGCTAGCTAGTGCTAAAACCAGCATTTAATAAGGTGGCTTTCTCTACCTTATCCTTCTTTCAAGGATAAGCTCAAATTCCACTGCCTGCTTGAATCCCCCAGCCTTTCTACCTGGAGATCTCCTCCCTGCTTACTTCATTCTCACAGGAACTGCCTCTACCACCTGTCACCCCCACCTCCTGCTTTATTTTTAGAGTTAGCTTTTCATGAACAAAATTGTAAGCTCTTGGAGGGAGGGGACTCATAGACTTTCTTGGACATCTATATACTTGTCCACCAACAACTAGCAGAGGCCTTACACAGAAGTTACAAAATGTCTTGTATGATTGAAATCTGTTATGTGAATGAGATGCTGAGCAATGTAACCCAAGGGGATCTGAGTAGCTCTGAACAGCCCTAATCAACAGAGGGCGCTGTGGCACCAGAATTATGTCTAACTGAACCACAGAGAACTATAACACCATAACTCACTTGCCTGAAGCCACCCACATTGTCTTTTATGAAGAAAATGGTACACTAACACACAGACCTCTTTCCTGAGTTTCAATTGTCCCCAGTGACCTGAATACTGTTGTGGTTGCCTAGATTCTATCCTTGAACTTTCTCCCAAGGCTAATTCAGCTTTCAGGTACCACCTACCTCTCTCCTAAGCTCTAGACCTGTTATCTTCAACTCAATTTTATACATCTCCACGTGGATGGATGTCAAACTCAACTGTCCCAAATTTAACCTACTAACTCCCTCCCCCTGCCCCTCACCCCATTCCCATCTTCTGAAATTACTACAGTGGAATTTTCTCACTTCTTTGGATTTTATTCACATATTGATAAGGCTCAGTAGGAAATGTGCCTTTTGTGGGAGTGTAAACCTGAATGACCTAATATACCAGCAATCTCTGCCTACACACCAAAACAATGTTATCTGGTATACTGTGTATATTAAATTTCAGACTTTTAAGACTATATTGCTTGAAAGTTGTCTCCAGCTTGAACTGTAGAGAGGAACTCTAGCTTGTCAATCAGTATAAAGGTTTACGGTTGCAGCAGTTCTTCAGAGTCCTCTCACCAAAAGGCATTCCCAGACCATTCCAAATAAATCCTGAACAATATGACTGCGAATCTAAGTCTGTTTTCTACAATTCCTCAGATCAGTTAATGACATCGCCATCTACTCAATTGTTTGAATTAGAAATCTCAGATTGATTCTTACTTTTTTCCTTCCTCCCCATTAAAGTCCCTAATTTATCTCCTTGTCTCTATCTCTACAAAACCAGTTAAGCACTATCTTTCACCTGGACCTAGGATTATAGTAGCCTACTTTCAATTTCTGCCACCTCCAATCCATCTTCCAGTAATACACTCCTGAAATGTAAAACTGATCATGTAACCGCACGGATTATATACCTTTTATGCCACCCGGACTTGCCCAGTGATATATAGTTAGAGCCAACTGGGATCTCCTCCCATCTTCTGCCACTCCTCTCATAGCCTAGTCATGAATCACGTAAGACACTGAGCTGCTGACTTAATACAGTACGCAATTCCAAGCTTCTATGGCTTAGGTATACTGTTTCCTCAGTTGAGAGTTTCCTCCCATATTTTTCTTTCTCATAAACTCCTACTTGCTCTTTAAGATCCAGCTTAAATGTCCCTCTATGAAGAGTTCCTTTTCCTAATGTCGAAGGCAAAATTAATTCTCTCTTCATGTTCTCATAGGCCTTTAGGAACATCATAAGGTCAATTATATTAAATCGTAAGTATTTTTGAATACTTATGTTATCCCTACAGACTTTTAGCTCCTTGAGGGCAGAAACCATATTTTACTTATTTTTGTATACCTACTATATAGCGCATGCATTAATTGAATACAATTATAGCACCTGGGAGTAAAATTTTCTTTATTATTAACTTACAAAATTTTTTTTAACCTGGAAGACTCAAACCACTTTAACATAGATAGAATCCTAATGGGCATAGCTGTAGTTCTTTGCCTATTTTTACTCCTCATTTTTCTCTTACCCATCTTCCCAGAAAAGCAGACCTATGCTTGCTCCCTCCCTGTAGCCCTTAGCAACCTTTTTATGGCCTCCTTCAAGGATATCAGGGTGGTTTCGTTGTTCATCTTCTCAAGGCAGAACGAAAGTAAACAAAACAAGCAAATCAAAAACCCAATGGAGATTCAAATTCAGGGTTTTCTGCTGTCTTCCACTCAGCAACAGGCAGCACTAGCATGAGTACTTGATCTAAATTCTGCCTGAAAGGTCACTCAGTACAAGAAGCTTTTAATAGCTTGTACATCCAAATATAGTTTCAAAGAACTGATCATGTGAAGTAAGGTGTCCTGGAATGCACTATAATATTTGCCTTTGAAAAATAAGCCATAGTATATCAACATAGCACAACCAGATGTAATTGGTTCTATGTATATTCTGGTAAATGTATAATATACATATGGATATACAAATGTGTACATATACTAAGATTAAATTGATAGAAATATTACTCTCAAATTTTAACAGCTTAATCATTCAATTATAACCTAAATTAAGTTTAAAGAGAGCTTTTATGATGTATTATATCAATGCTAAAAATCTAACCATCCTTAGAAACTAATAAATATTTATTGATAAATTCTAGTATTAGATTAGGCGTTGGAAATAAAAACAGACATAAAATAAGATTCCTGAATTTAAGGGATTTAAATTCTAATTGGGGAAATAAGACATTACTTAAAAAAGAAAATATATATAAAATGTTGTGTGCTAAATAGGTACAGATGATAAAAATCATAGAAGATGAGAGAATAGGTCATAAGTCTTGAGTAATTGAGAAACATTCACATTGAATGTAGATTTGGGCTTTGTTCTAAAAATAAAAAATGTAGGTCTTTGATTATCAGAGAAGAAAGAGAAAGGTTTTACAAACTGGAAAAATTGTGTGAGCAAAATTACAGAAGTGGCAAGTTACATAATGTGGTCAGGGAACAATAAGTATAGTTTAAACATAAGATTCATGTGAGAAAAAAATTTAAATTGATAAGAGCCAAGTTATGACCTTATTTATTTGTTGAATAATATATTCACTTATTCGATATTACTGGACACCATAAACATCAGTTGAATGGATAAAACCTATGTACGATCGGTACTATTTCAGGTACTGAGAATACAATGATGAGTAAGACAAAATCTTTGCCCTAAGGAACATACTAATAAGGAGACAGAAAACAAGGATTATAAAAGAATGGATGGTGCCAGGTAGCCTGATAATAAATTTGAACATGCGTGAGCTGTTGGTTCTGTAAAGTTGATCTAGCAGTGGTATTTAGGGTAAATCTAAGTGGGAATGAAACCAGAGGCAGACAAGTCCCTCAGAAGACTGCTATCACAGTCAAATGTGCAGTGATGAGGGAGCAAATTACAATGTTGGTCCTTGGAGTGGAAAGACAAAGGGACAGATATGAGAGACATTATGATTCCCCCAAGGACTCCTGAGGGTTGGAGTAGGTAAACCTCACATAAATCTTCAGAAAATTTTGGCTGCCCAACAAAATTCCTTGAGGGAATCTAGTCCTTCCTTGCCTCAGTGGGAAAAGCCTTGTCTTGTGTTCTACCAGGTAGCCATCCTCCCTACTTTCCTCCCAACCCCTTGCTACTTTTATCTCATTAACAGAATCCAAATTTTGTTCAAGTATTGGGAGGCTATGTGCTTCAGGGGAGGCTGAGCCCCACCGCAGTCAAAGGGGAAACGATCTTGATTTGGTTAAGCCAATCGTATTAATTTCATTATTGTTGTCATTATCATTGGTTTAGGAATGGGCAAGTGACAGAATTCTGGCTTACATAAAAAGTCTACTATGAAGTTTCAGAGAAAAGTTTTTCTTTTTTAATTGTGATAAAATATGTATAACATAAAATTTACCATTTTGGTAGAGGGTGGGTGAAATGAGTGAAAGCAAGAGAAAACCATTTTGTGCTAAAAGGTAAAAACTTTCAGTTATGAAATAAATAAGCCCTGGGGTTGTAATGAACAGCATGGAGACTATAATCAATAACATCGTATTGTATATTTGAAGGTTGCTAAGAGAGTAGGTCTTAAAAGTTCTCATCGCAAGAAAAAAAATTTGTAACTCTGTGGTGATGGATGTTAACCAGACTTCTTGCAGTGATCATTTCTCAATACATACCTTTATCGAATCAAGGGATACGTTCCCAGACTGCCAATGGATGCCTGAAACTGCAGATAGTAGCAAACTCTATATACACTGTTTTTTCCTATACATACATACCTATGAAAAAGTTTAATTTAGAAATTAGGCATACTTAGAGATTAATAACAATAGCTAGTAATAAAATAGAAGAATTATGATAATATATTGTAATAAAAGTTATATTAATGTGTTTTCTTTCTCAACATATCTTACTCTACTGTTCTCACCCTTCTTGTGATGATGTAAGATAAAATGCCTACTGATGAGATGAAGTGAGGTGTATGATGTAGGCATTGTGATGTAGTGTTAAGATAATATAAGGCTTGCTTGAACACAAGCATTGTGATAATATGACAGTGGATCTGAAACTGAGATGTCTTCTAAGTGAAGAAGGGGCACGGATCTGTTGGACAAAGGGATGACTCATACATAGCAGGGGCAGGATGCAGTGGGTCAGCGCAAGACAGCTCCAGATTTCATCAAACTACTGAGAACAGTGAGCAATTTAAAATTTATTATTTATTTCTGGAATTTTCCATTTAATATTTTGGGACCACAGTTGATTGAGAATAAGTGAAATTGCAGAAAGTGAAACCTCATAGAGCGAAACCATGGGTAAAGGGGAACTACTATACTATTATGTTAATTACATCTCAATTTAAAATTTTTTCTTCTTTTGATCATTTTTAAGAGTACAGTTCCGTGGCATTAAGTTTATTTACACTGCTGTCCAACCATCACCACCGTCCATCTCCAGAACTTTTTCATATTCTCCAACTGAAACTCTGCACCCATTAAATATCACCCCCACATTCTCCTCTCTCCTTAGCCCCTAAAATCACCATTCTACTTTTGTTTCTGAATTTGACTACTCTAGATACTTGTATAAGCGGCATTCTACAATGTTTTGTCTTTTTGTTACTGGGAGAATAGCTTTTCTGATGATAGGAAGAAACACACAGGAGAAAATGGTCTCTCATCATCCCTCAATAATGTTGGTCTTCAAATGATGCATGTAAACTGCAGCAGCCATCCTGTTATGACCACAAGGGGAACCAGCCTCCCAAAGCAAACCAGCAGAGCAGAAAGATGAAAAGAACCTATCACAATGAAAAGTTCCTCTAAAATTTCACGATGGAAGTTCCTCAAAAAATTAAAAATAGAACTACCATATGATCCAGGAAATATATATATATGTGTGTGTATATATATATATATATCTCCAGATAAATAAAAATAAAACTCCCATGTTATCCAGCAATTACATTCCTGTATATATCTCCAAAGAAAATGAAAACAGAATATCAAAGACATATCTGCACTCCCATGTTCATTGCAGCATTAATCACAATAGCCAAGCTATGGAAACAGCCTAAGTGTCCGAGAAAGAAGGAAATTCTACTGTTTGCCACGACATGGATGGACCTTGAGGGCGTTATGCTAGGTGAAATAAGCAAGACAAAGACAAATACTTCATGGTATCACTTACATCTGGAATCTAAATAAAAAGTCAAACTCATAGAAAAAGATAGAAAAGTGGTTGCCACAGGCTGGGGAATAGGAAAATAAGTTGGTAAAAGGATAAAGAAAAAAAGAAAGAAAGAAACTGTCACTGAATTAACGTCTCCTAGAACTGTTCCATTGTTAGCGTGTTTATTGTGAGGAATAACAACTCTGCTTTTTTGATTAAGCATTTTATAGTTGGGGCTTTTGTCCTTAAGGAGACTTTATTGATCAGGTTCTTTGCTGAGGTTTCTTCTGAAGCCCTTCATTTCTCTGAAACTAACATTAGTTTTCTTGTGGGTAGCTCTGTGGCCAGAATTTTGACAGAGAAATAAAACAGAGAAGGAAGGAAAGAATGGTAGAGACTCTGATGTAATCTAGTAGCTCACTCAGAATAAACTACTGTGGGACCAGCCCTCAACCCCTGGAAGAACGTTTGGAACAGGGCAAAGAGCAAAGAATTCTGCTCCAGGATCAGAGCTTGACAATTCCACCTACCAGTACCGTTTCTTGTAGAATGCTGCCTGCCTCTCCAGATATAATACTTGTTCTCTTCTCCCTGATTTAAATGACTGCCTCTTGTCTGTGTAGACCTAACTAGTACCTGCTGATCTTTCCATCCTTGATTGCCTCCCTGGTATTTGGCCTTTTGACTGCCCAATCTTTTGTAATGTTCCGATGTCTTCTGCCAGGCTCATCTTCTTCCTAATCCTCCCTGCTGTATTGCTTTCCAAATTTTTTTTTTATATTAATGAACCTTATTTTTCAGAGCAATTTTAGGTTCACAGCCAAATAAGCAGAAAGTACAAGAGTTCCTATTTATCCTTGCCCTCACACATATACACCTCCTCCACTGTTAGTTTCCTGCACCAGAGGGGGATATTTGTTACAACTGATAAACCGACAGTGACACATCATCGTCACCCAAAGTCTATAGTTAACATTAAGGATTACTCACTTGGTGGTGTCCATTCTATGAGTTTTGATGAATGTATAGGAACGTGTACCTACTATTATAGTATCATACCAAATAGTTTCACTGTCCTTAAAACTCTCTATGCTCTGTCCTTCTTCCCTCAAACTTCTGGCTACCACTGATCTTTTTACTGTCTCCATAATTTTGCTTTTTCTAGAATGTCATGTAGTTGAAATCATATAGTATGTATGTAGCCTTTTTAGATCAGTTTCTTTCACTCATTAATATGTATTTAAATTTCCTCCATGTCTATACATGGCTTGATAGCTCATTTCTTTTTAGCGTTGAATAATATTCCATTCTCTGGATGTACTAGTTTGTTTATCTATTTACCTACTGAAAAACTATTGGGTGCATCCAAGTTTGGGCAATTATGAATAAAACTGCTATAAACATCTGTGTGCAGGTTTTCATGTGTACATAACTTTTCAAT